TTGTGGGAGTTTTAAAACATGTCGAGGTTTACATACCGATCATGACATTGATACACTTACTTTATTGGACTTATGGATCATATTTATAGCTGTTTACTTGTTTGTTTAGGACAAATAGTTCAGGGGACATGATATATGTGTGAAGAAAAAGTTACTTTTATATTCCTCAATAATTAGCAAATAATTGTCTCAGAATATGATGATTTATTGTTCATTAATTTTGTTTTTTAGCATTGAAGCTTTTATGTGAAATCAATAATTAAATGGAATAATTTCAATACAATTATTTTAGTTTCATTGTAATTGTTGTAATTGATGAATTAATTAGTTATTATTCATCAATTTATTGTTACAAGAATTATATGATTTATTTAAAGTCCAGTGATACTTAAAACATTCACAGGTCTGTTATCAAAAGTTGATGGTAGTTGGAAGAAGGAATAGAAGTAGAAGAGTAAATAGAAAGTGAAACCGTTAGGATTCTAGATTTTATTTACCTAAAATAGCTCTTTTGAGCCTCTCAGACATAAAAGGGAACCAGCTGTAATGACGATTTTATTTCAATAGTTCGACACTTACTTTGATGATTGCCTCAACTTTTATGTCCATGATAAAACATATAGAAGGTAAATAAATAGTGGAAAAAACTTTAAAAGACAGACAGAAGATTCTTTTTAAGGTCATAAGAATCTTCTTGGCCTTTCTTTCTTCGAGCTGGGAAATTGAAAAACTTCAACTCCAGGGGAAATTGTTTTGCTGGTACTACTCTTGTACCAAACTTAACTTTACAGGCGTCCCTTTACTTTTTGAAAACTAATTAAACTTTGAATACCCATGTGACCAAATAGATCTTTTAGTAAAATAAGTTTTTTGCTTTTTTTTTGTTAACCAAATTAGTTATTAAAATTCGATTCATCTTTAATTTATCATTTCAATATACCACAATTGTCGTAATAAAATAATTTCTTTATTCCTTTTTAATAAAACATAGAATTTTGATGGACAACATCAGGCTTGGAGCTATCAAGTATTTTTATCAAGTATTATTAGTAACAATCAAGAACAAATTAATGAGCTAATTTAAATCAAAAAAAGAATAGAACAGTTGGAAGACATAGATGTAGAAGTGATGAAATAAATAATAAAAGGAGTTGTTGAAGAAAGATATTAGGAGGAAGAGTAGTTGGTATCGATGATCGATACACAGAACATTGAGTGAAACGAAGCAGGACTTAAAAAATTAAATAAAAAAAAAAAAAGAATTAAAAGTTGAAAAAAAAAGGGAAATTTTTTCCATGTTAAATAATTAAAAAAAATTATTTGATTTATTTGTTAACAAAAGCTGGAACGTGAGATATGGTCGGAACTCGATTCTCGTATAAATGAAGCATGCTACAGTCAGCAAGTACTGCAGGTAGATATTATAGACTTGTAAACGAGGCTTGAGTGTGGTTCCATGTTAAATTGAAACGCTTGAAGGTAACGTCTAATGAAAGCATACGTGCACAAGCTGATATTGAAGCCCCCTCCTAGTACGTAATAATTTCAGAATGGTACTTGAGTGAGCCCGACTTGTCTGCAACAAAGTTAACAAGTAGCCATTCCTGCTTTTGCATATTTGTAACTACTAATACTATTCATAATATCCCATATATACCTTCTATTCATACATATCATACTCCAATATCCATTCTCATATCCAATATGAATACAGGTATTTGACTTACTTTACATCCCTCTAGTACATAAATTCATACACCTGTCTTGTTTTGTTTAGGGAAGATTGAACTTTATCAAGCGGAAAAAATTTATTTTTTGATATTGGAAAATATTTTAAATTTGTCCTTCATCATGTTAACTTTTTCCAATTTCTTCCCTTTATCTTGCAAAAATTGATCTTTGAGAAAAAAGGGGAAGCTAAAGGGAAAATAATAATTTTTATTTATTTATTATTATATTTATTAATCAAAATTAAATATTAAAGAGTTGATGTAAAGTTCAGTTGACTTACTTTGTCACAATACTTGCTGAAGAGTTTATACGAGATTCGTGTGAGTGTATAGGCATCGCGTCGGAGTATGTGGCTGCTGTAAGCACAAATTGCCGCAAATTGAAGAAAATTGAATGAAGCTCAGAGCTTAACGAAGGCACTAAATCCTTGTGAAACGACCTATCTCAACATTCAGTCGGTTTTCATGATAAGTGCTTGACAATGTTTACATCAAGTTTTTGTTTTTAATTTTAAAATAGTTTTTTTCAACTAAAATTTTTAAATAAAAAAATGTCTACTCCATTAAGTTTTTTAATGTAATAATTATTCTTTAAATAGTACTTAAAGGATTTAGTTTTAAAGGTATTGATTGTGAAAGAATGTCAAAAAAATATGAAAAAAGATTTATTTAAATAGGAAATGAAAAATAATTCAAGAGTAATATAGAGAAGAGTCGAGAAATGAATTGGCATGTGAGGCAACTGGCGATGATACATGGTTCAGAGTGAGTGTTTGGTATATGTAGAGAGGTGCACGTATACCCTAGGGGTTGTTATAGAAGTGCGCGAGAACATTCCGGATTCAGGTATGTAATATCAGAAATTCCGAACTATGTCGCTCGTTGGGTACTCGCGAAGTTTCAGTTGTGCGTACCACCATTGAAAACGGTATGCCTTTGCAATTTACGGATGATACACTCCGATTTTCCATCAACCATGTTATACTCATTCCGTTGCTGTAGCTTTTTTGTTTTCACCTGTAAAAGTATTTTAATTAATCTTTCAACCATTTCCTTCATTTTATGCTTTAATGTAAGAGCATATTTTAACTTATATTTCAAAAATGCTACGAAATATTTACATGAATTTCAAATCAACTTGGCTAATTCTATTTGTCATGTTTTCATGCTTTGTTAAAAACTTTTTAACAGGATCTTTTTTATGAAATCTCAAGTATTTAATTATAATTAATAATGGATTAATATTTTTTTTAATAATTTTAGAAAAAAGAATAATTGTAAGAATTTTAAATAAAAATATATAAATGACTGGAAAAAAGTAATAAAAAATTTCAATCAAATTTAAATTAAAATCTTCTACTCGAATTTGATAAAAAACGTTATAGTGTGATGATGGAAAAAATGTTTTTTTTTAATGAATTTTTTTTTATTGCTCCAAAACTAGGGTAGAAGAAGTAGGATAAACACTGCATCATATCTGGTCGTTATTACCTTTTATATACTGGTTAAATTATTGGGTAAAAATTACCCTCATATTGGAGGGTAAACTGGGGCCAAGTCAGAGGTGTGATGAAAGCATATTGGGGTACAAATGTTATCATCAAAATAACATTACTTCACCTAAAAAAAATTTTCATGAATATTAACTGTTTCAATATCTTTCCAAAGTATTAATTAAAAATTTTCTTAATAATAAATCGGTATTTTGATATAAAAATAAGTCCAAATTGTTTCTTAAATTGATAATAATTTAAAAAAGAAGTCAATAAAAGATCTTAAAACTGCAAAAACAGCATCACTTTAATCTTTTTCTCAACACATATTAATTAAAAAGTCAATCACTCAAGTGATACACAGTAAAAAAAATTAAAAATAGAAAAATTTGTCACTAAAGTATAATCCCACAAGACTGAAGCATGATATTATATATATTTATATTCCAATTAATTAACAACATATCGATTATATGATAAAAAAATAAATATTTTAGATTTTTCATAGAGAAACTAGGGAATATTTTGGACAAGTAAAGATGGATTAATCCAACTGATGATTGATATCTATTCCATTAAAATGCATTATTTTTCTGTTATTTTGCAGGCATAGGAGTGGAGGGGTAGTTTTGGCTAGAGGCAAAACATACGAGCTGCATTGGACACATTGTCAATTTGCTTGTCGAGTCGTCGGTTTAAAATCGATCACGTACAGACATACTCACTTAATACCTCAGTCTTCTTATTCACACCCTCTCCATGGTTTTGAGAGCATTCCAAATCTTGTCACTAACTTGAGGTAAAAAATTTGCAATAACGAATTAAGTAAATTCGGTTGATTTATTTCCTTTATAATTAAGTAATCTTGAATGCTTGTAAAAAATACTATTCAATTCAATTCTCTCATTTTAGGCATTAGTATTACATGAATAAATAAATACACTGGGAGTAAGTAGTCTGCAATAAAACAAAAGGGATAGGATCCAAAGAGGAGTATATATACGATAAATAAAGGAAAAAGGATGGAAACAAAGATAGAGTGTAAAGGGAGGTAAAAAAAAAAGAGAAATGAGAGAAAACAAAGGCAGGGTTGGAGGAGCAATCTCTTCTTTGGCTGGGCCATTCGTCCCTTGCAACCACCCCCTGATGAAACAGCTTCTATATACTTTGTTCTTTCTCTATCTGATGCTTGGTTACGGCACACGCTGACGATGAGTCCGCGCGCGGTACGTTCGCCGTCCATAAAAATAAAATTTCAATAAATCTCCGCGCCGCGAACCCAGTGGGGCATCCTGAGGGCGGGCTACTTTCTCATTGGAGGGTGGTTTGCAATGGTTACGCCTACTACATATATACACTCTGATAGAAATGTGGATACCAACTTGGATCACACTACTTCTCTACAACTTGCAGAAATACGCACTTTTACTTCCTTCTTCATATCCCAAATGTTAATCCCTAAGCAGTGGAAAAAATTTCTTTTCATGCTTATGCCTATTATTTATTTATGCTTTGAAGGTATTTAATTCTTTATCGTTTTTTGTTGTTTTTGATTAGTTTTTTTGTACATTTAATTCTCTGATGGGAACAAGTTTAACTTGATTTTAAATTCAGGACATTTGGAATTGTTTTAATAAGTTTTTTTCTTATGGTGATTTATAATGAATGATTAAATTAAATGGTGAAAATAATTAAAAAGATTTTTATGATAAATAAAAGCTTAGTAAGAAGTTGAAAAAATTTTATCGAGTAAATTTGAAAATGAGAAACAATTTATTGTCAATAAAAATGTATTTAAATAAGTATAAATGTTTATAAAGGGCGCATTAAGTTTATCTACGCTCCTGAAAGAGCGTCGAAGTCAAAGGATAGCTGCGATTTAATATCACGCCCACGAGGAAGCACATTTGGGGGTATATAGAAGGGAGAATGTGTGAGTTTGCGTGAGTTTGAGTGAGAGAGAAAAGCCGTGCGCTAGTAGGTAGTCCACGGAGTGAGTCAGACAGAGCGCGAGGGTGTAAGGGACAAGGAAAACACTAAGAGAAGTGGGGAGTTTGGATATGGCAGCCGAACAGTTTGCTGTTTGCTTCCCAAAGGTTCGGGCCGCTTGTTCAACGTGTCGACTATATCGGGGCCTCGATTTCTTCGAATCCCGATTTTGTTTCTCGCGGTTATTGTTGATATTAAAGTGTTACGATTGAACGAAGATTGTCGCGGGGTGTGCAGGAGTATTGCTCCTGGGGAGGGATGCTCAACAATATTTCTGCTGGAGCTTCCATTCATGGCATTACCGGTAAGTTTGCTGTCAAAAGTTTCTGCTCCAAAATCAGTTTTTTTTTAGCAATTAATTCTGTTGGAACGTCAATGACAATCAGACTCATTTTTAACTGCCAAAACTAACAGTTATCTTTTGTTTGTATCAATGATTTATCCAACTGACAACAGAAAGTTGACGTCAATGTCATTTTTTTTAAAAAGCACAATAATGTTCTTGCAATAAACTCTTAAGAAATGTTGATTCACAATGATTTCGTTTTTTTATTTATTAATAATCGTTGTTCAATAATTTTTTTGATAATTAAAAAAAAAACTGTTGATAATTGTTGATAAAATTGAAATAATTATTATTAACATTTTAAATTAATTTTGTGGTAAAATTTTTAATTTTTTTTATTAAAAAAACTATTTAAAAGCTCACCAACAAAATATTTTGTTTCTAAATGTTTTTAAAAAAATTGCAGGCTTTTTTAGGAGTTCATAAGTCTGTTAGTTAATTAATTATTATAAAAAAAAAAAATTGAGAACTGTAGTTATTTCTAAAACAATAATATTATAATTTTTTTTTTAATTTTATGAGACAGTTGATAATGTATGATATTTGATGTAAAAAAAATTGCACGATATCTTTGATGTTTATCAAAGTAATATTGTGATCAAAATAATAGAAATGATGATTGTGGATGAATAACTCAGGTGCATTTGATGAAAGATGGTGCAAAGTGTGCACGAAAGAGTGCGACGGTAGATCAAAGGAAATATGCCGAATATACTCGTGCCTCGTGTGTGCCTCGTAAAACTCATCTCCACCAGCCTCCCAATAAAATCTAAATAAAACCATCACAAAAGCCGAAGGAAATAAATATATAAAAGGTGAAGTAGAGGTACCCAGTCGTAAAGGTTCATTCATGTCATAAGTTTCAAGATTATTTTTACATCATCTTCATTGAAACAAAGTCCTCATGGTGGTCGTTTCACATAAAAATAATTTATTCAGTCTGTACATCAGTCACTTACAAATCTTCCCAAACATATTTCGACATCTGATGACTGAAAAAAATTTTCCTCCACTTATTTTTCAAGTAATTAATTTTTTCCTGAATTTCTTTCAACATAGATCAGCTTCATAAAAAGCTTTGGCATGAAATAAAAAAAATTGCAACAAAATTCCATTTAGTTTTAAGACTAAACTAGTTCATTACGCAACTAAGCATACCCGACAAAGCACAAAGTAACACTTAACTATGATTTTTTTCCTTCTTTTTCTGTTACTTCATCTCTTTCTCATCCATATAATGAAGTGTGTATAAGAAGAGCGACCTTTCAACACGACAAAGTCCTTCTCCCTCTTGATTTCTCAGTCGAACACACGCGTGGTGAAACATGTGAGTCCTGTGATGAGATCGTGGTCTCATATATTTGCTCGCCTAGAAGCAGAGGCCGGTGACGATTCTCACACCTTAATGCTAAGTGACCTGTACGTCCCTCGCCACCGGTCTGTCGGCTTCTGCTCCTATACAAATTTAAACTACAGACCCGACGGGGTTGTGACTGCCGACGCTTGTCGTCGACATAAGAGGGAGAAAAAGAATTTTTTCAAGAGAAAGAAAAAATAAGATTTTTAAGGCTTTTTTTTTGAGATATAAAAAGCGAAAAAAAATGTGAAACAAAGTGTCCTTTTTGTGTAGGAGCAAAAGATCTTCATGCGCAGGAGCTGAAACACGAAAAATTGGACGGTGTCCTGGGGGCGAACCTGGGTGGAGGTCTGTCTGCTGGTGGAGGGCTTACGCTTCATCAAGAATTAATAATGGGCATGCCTGGAGCAGGTAAGAGTACTCAGGCTTTTTATTGTTTATCGTACTCTATAAGAAACACTGAGGAAAATTTTCATTAGATACTCGACGCATTTTTTATTGATGACGATTGTTATTTAATTACATTTTTGTATTATTATTATTTTATCAATCTTTTTTTTTTGTTAAATTATTGAAAATTAATGGTAATTTGTTATTTATGATACAATATTGTTGAATTACATATGTTATTTTGATTAATTTAAATAAATTAATTGATGATTGAATTCTTTTAAAAACTTAACCATCTACAAAATTCAATTGTTTTATTTTTATAGTATTTGTTTTATTGTTTAAAAATTCCTCTGAGCTTCTATATAATTGTAATTAAAAAAATGATTTTAATTAAAACAAAAACATTGGAATCTTCAATGTTGTGATATTGAATATTTGTATATTTTATTAAACAAAATTGTTTTTAATTAACAATAATAAGCTTACTTTACATACAAAATATCAAAAATTAAAAAAATTATTGCAATTCCCACAGTCAACAGAATAATGATGTTTACAATTCAAGAAATAATTAGTTTAATTAATAAATTAGTACTGATTGAGCACGACTCAAGAGCTTTTTAAAGTGAATAATAAATTACTTAATCAACCATATCATACATTTTTCAATTCAATCTTTAATTCTTTTTATTATTTTTTTTTAACTATAAAATTTTCAGGAACATTCATTGAAGTTTAATGAAATAACCTCAATTTTTTTTTGAACCTTTACATAATGTCATAAATTAATATACTTAGCAAGCTTCTAGTACTCCATACTATTTAATAAATATAATGAATCCTACATAATTAATCTTTAATTTTATTTTAAAATGATAGACTATAGTTTTTAAATTCTTTAATGAACTTCTAAATATAGCAATAAAACAAAAAAAAAATAATTAATCATGATAAAATTTATTTAATTTCTTTTTTTACTCTAAGACTTATTTTCACTCCAAACTCCAAAACTTAAGTAACACTGATGAATTTTTTATTGTAAGGAAGTGCAGCAGCGATCGGCCAGGGTGACGATAAGCCAGCAAAGCAGAAAAGACATCGAACAAGATTCACACCTGCACAATTAAATGAGTTAGAAAGATGTTTCGGTAAAACTCACTATCCTGACATTTTCCTAAGAGAAGAAATAGCCATGAGGATCGGATTGACTGAGAGTAGAGTTCAGGTGAGTTTAATCACTCCCAACATGTATATTAATATTATTAACCGGAAATATCTCCATCAAAGTTCCTTTAATAATCTCTTGATAATTATAAATGTCTTGAGTCTTTGCATCATCTTTGCAAAGTCTTGGAATCAATTGTCACAGCCTACCGTGGCTTTTGTGGATTAAAGTGAAACTTGAAGTTGCTAAGCTCAGCTTCTATCATGGGGTCCAAATTCCTGTGGGTTTCTACTTGCTTTTGGTCTCTATTTCCAAGCTCTCCTTTTGTGAATAGGAAACCGTAATTAGTGAGAAGGTCAATTTTAGATTTTCCAGATGATGAATATTATTAATTAAATTTCATCTATATAGAAAATATTAAATTATGTATTTATCAATAGACAAATCTCTCATTGAGTAACTAAAGTTTTTTTTATTATTGTAAATATTTAATTTTATCGCATTTTTATTATTCATTGAATAATTTATGAACAAATGAAATATTGCTATCAGTGATCGAATATAGTTATTTAATTTCCATTAATTCATTCTAAAATCTAACGCTAAATAAATTATGAAAAAAATCGATTCAAAATTGAATTTTCATTATATTCACTACTTTTATATTATGTACTTATAGTTTATGAAAAACGGAAGTTAAATTAACTTTTGACTGGCTATCATTGGAAACATTGCTAAGATTTAATTATAGATTTACCAAAGTACCTTTTACAGTTCAATGCATTTGAACATGAATAAAAAAATTATGTGGCAGTGTATTGAAAGTATTTATAAAATTTTAATTAAGCCATTGAAAAAAAAAGCTTGATAATAAATGCTAATAAGTATGCAATTTAATCAATTGTGAAAGAATTTAATTAATTTTTTTTCAATACTGCATTGATATCTAATTTATAATCAATTATTTATTCTTTTAAAGTCATATAAATACTTAATATTTAATTTCTAATATAATAAAAAATATTTTTCATTGAGCTTAAAAGTAATTGATTTGATTGTCGTAAAAATGATTATTATTTTTTTCATTCTTTTTCTGATGAGTTAATTTTGAATTAATGATGTTTTATATCAATAATATGACATGCTTGGATACACATGATTTTTGAAAATGAAATACGTCACAGAATAAAAAGCTCACGCACTTGGAACAGCTTTCTAAGTCTCGGGGGTGCGTTGAGAAAATGTGACGATAATAGAAATTCATGAAATTTTTATTCGCAAAACTTGAAGCGTCAGTCAAGCCGAGCGCTGTCCGCATATAAAATAGCTTTACTCCTACACATTTTTACTTTTTGTAATATTTTCATACTTTGGAATATACCAAAAGACATGCATCCAGTATAACGAGAGACTGGCTGACATGAAGTGATCAGCAAAATGCCTCTTTTAGCAGAGGTTTTTGTGAAAAGTAAATACTCTTGTATGATGGAAAATAAAAATTATGGTGATGAATAAATACTGAGAATTGTTGTAATGAATTATTAATGAAGGAATATAATCAATCAGTTATTTCATTTGGAGTCACACAACAGAGAATGAAGAAGGATTAAGTGAAATAAATTCCGTAGTTTGTTACTTTCAATCAATTTGTAAAATAAAAATAGTGTTAGTAGCTAGGATTTTATTATTTGATGATAAATATTAAAATTAAAGGACATTAATGCAGTGATTTTGGTAAAAATTCTAGGACAAATAGTTGCTAAATTTCTTTTTACAGCAAAAATAAATATGCTAATTATGAAAGAATAGGTTTTTGTTGAGGAAATAAATTATAACAAAGCAAAAAAAAAAATATAATGAATATTATTGTCTGTCTTTTACAATTGAGAATATAACATTTTTTCACGAATCACTCTTGATGTCTAACTGCATAATTTATTTAAAACGCATGCTTTATAAAATTATTTTTTAACATTTTCTGACTTTCATTACTACCTCAACATATTAATAAAGAAAAAAAAGTCAAATTTATATTAAATTAAAAAACAGTAGTAATAAAGTCCCCTAATCATGCAAATATTTTTTTCACATCTTCATTTTCAATGTCAAGGATGGAAGACGTTGAATATCGTTCTTTGATTTAGCAAAGCAACAGAATAAAAAAAGGTGAAAATGAAAATGAATCGACTGTGGAAATAAAATAAAAACGATTGAGGGACAATTTTTGTACTTCCAAAGGACGAAAAGACCTCGAAAGATACGTTGAGTTGGTTGATGTTACTGACGAAGAAGTTGCATAGTTAGAAAAGACGGAAACTGGCGAGAGAGTGGAGGTTAAAAGAGAAAAGGAGGATGAGAGTAGCAAGGGAGTGTAATTGAAAGAGGTCTTCCATCGGTGAGGGAGATAGATATCAGAACGAACGAAGCGTTTCCAAGGGAACGTGCCGCGAGTACTCACGCTCAGAGGGTTGGAGGCACCAATCCGGCTGCGAGGAAGAGCGCCGGCGCTCACTGCCACCGTGCTATCGAGCGTCGGCTATCAAAGATTTCTTGACTTACTATGGCGGGTCGTGAATATTTCCCATAAGAAACAAAAGGGTTAAGATTGTCTTAAAAATTTATCTCCATTAAATACCCAATTTTCTGTAAATTACCATATGAAGAGTTTTTCTTAATGAGGGTAAATATTAACATTGAGTTTACATAAAGATGCTGATGTTTTAATCATTTGATTATTGACTTTATTTATTTTTGTGATTGAAAAAGAAAATAGAGTCAACAGTTGGAGACTTCTCTCTTAAACTGAATCAGTGAAAACTACTGTGATTCAGTGAATATTTACTGATTGCCAGTGTCAATTATATCACTGAAAGAAACAGTCATTGGATTGGCACTGGATATCAGTAAATATTCACTGATTCAGTTTAAGAGAGTTGGAAAATAAAGAATTTCCTCATTAAATGATCTGTTAATTTTTGCTGCTCATTAATCCTGGAGAAAATTTGATTTAATTGTGTTCAACTAGGATTTATATTAATGCTACTGTTTATATGGAAAAAATTAACAAAACTATTTTTTATATTTGTTTAGAGAATTTTTAGTCATAATGAATGAAGTATAATTTTCACAAAGGTCATAAGTGGATTGTTAAGTACAGTTTATGCTTAATAAACAATTAATTTGATTATAACATGAGAGATTTATGAACAATAATTATCAAGAGAATGAAAAATTGATATAGAATTAATACTAGTAAAGAAGATTTGAGATTAAATATTTTAGAATGTTTTGCTTTGATGTTGATAACATTTTAATGTTTCTAATGAATAACAAAGTTAGAATTGAAATTATTTAAAAAAATTCTAATATTTTTCTCCAAAATAAAGAAAATTTTATTGAATTATGCTAGCAATTTTACTACTCATAAAAAATCTCAGCCAAGTTTACCGCAGCTTTATAGCAAATGTACTTCATAAAAATTGCAGTATGTAACAAAGTTATGATTCTTATAAATACATATTGTTATGCTCATAATGAATACTTATGACGTGGAACAATTCTATTTCAATATTAGATTCCAATAAAAGCTAAAAGAATATTCAATGTTTACAGAGTTGTCTCAGCAAAAATAGTTGATAAGTGAATAAACCAATTAATAAGTACTTAAAGGTTATTAACCAACAATTGTTCCTCTATTAAAAATAGAAGCATAACTACATGATAAATGCATTAATCTCTAAGCTTGATCAACGTTGATTTGAAAGCTCAATATTTAAAGATAAATTTCTTTACAATGTTACTTTTATATTGAAGTAGTTTAAAATATTCAGATATTTTCGTTTGTTTTATCATTTTAATTATCCAGAATTGAATATAAAATAAAAATGTTGAATATTGTCGTCTGAGAACTAAAATATTCATAAAGTTATGGTAAAAAATCACCTGAAACGTCAATTGCTTTGAGATGAAAATTTATATGACATTTTAGTATTACTTGGTCACACTTTAATCAAGGAAACAGTTGGAGTGTTGATACATTCAATGATACTGTGGTAGTAGACCATTTTCCGATACATATATACAGATAAAAGTGTATTTATATTTACGTATATATGAATTCGATGACTTCTGGTTTACTCTCTATGACAGTAATCAAAATCAATTAATCGGAACGAGGGTCTATTTTTAAATTATACTGCAGCACAGATAGACCGAAATATAAGCAAGTCCATCAGTAGCACATTAACTATGTAGATTTAAATCTGTTGGATGCTGCTATGACTGTCACAAACTTTTTTTTTCCGTTTACATTTTTTTATCCACTTCACTATATACTGTTTGTCATCCCTATAACGATCTATCTTTTTCATCCATTGAAATAAATGAAAATAGGATTTGAGAGGATCCTACACATTCCCACTTTGATTTCAATATATAGAAATTTTTTAATATTTTCACATTCAATGTGATTGAAGTTATTTCGAGACGTATTCCATAAAATACTATTCTACGTTATTTTATGTGGCTTAATATTTAAAATATTTTATCAGCTCAAGTAATTTTTAGTCTATGGACATTCTTATGATGATTAGAAGAATTATTTATTCAATAGATATTTAAAAATGACATTCCATTGATTATATTGGAAAACGAAGTTTAGATCATTCAACTCTTCATGATGCTAAAACTGGTATTTTTTAGTATGGCATTTATGAATCAAACGTGAATTTTTACTAGAGGTGAACGGTCTTATAATTGAAATCCTTGATTGTCAGGAGAGGATTTCATGCCAAACAATGAAATGACACTTTACAATCATCGAAACTTCATTCGTCCATTCGAAAATTCACGTTAAATATTTCCGATAGCAGTAGAACATTTTATTAATTAAAAATCAATACAACGTTTTTTTTTTTTCGTTTCCATTTTCATTATTCAATTAGAAACAAACTTTTCTATTATTGTTATCATTATTATCTAAAATATTCTAAAATAAAAATTCATAGTCCAGTTGCTTGAAATGCCAATGTTTGTCAATGATTCATTAGCAAAAATAGAAA